AAGTGGAGGTCCTGGGGATTGAACCCAGGACTTTGTGATTCTAAGCATGTGCTCTACCACTGAGCTGTACCCTCCGCCTTGTTATGTTTTAGTTACAGCCACATGTATGACCTGGTAATCTTGAGCTATGGATGGAAGTGGGTGGTGGTTTTCTACATACTCCCGTAACAGATGAAAACTTTTGACAAGTATAAAGGTTATATAGTGTTTCGAGAAAAAAATAACCTGAAACTATTTATGGATATACACATTATCATTAATGTTTAAACCCAAAGTCTCCAACTTGGAGCAAAAATTTTCTCCGAATTTTTTAAGCCCTGAAAACTCTTGCTCCTCCAAGTGTGGGGTACAAGCCAGCAGCATTGGCTTCACCTGGGAGTCTGTTAGAGTTGCAGACTCAAGACTCCACCCCAGACCTGCTAAAGCAGAATCTGCAGCTAATGAGATTCCCCAGGGGATTCCTATGCACTTAAAAATTTGAGACTCATGCTCTAGGTCCGTATTTGGAGGGCAAGGTTTTATCTTTATGTCTTAAAAGATGCTTGATACGCCAGTCTAATATCCAGGTCATCCTTTAGTCTAATGGTCGATGCATAGCGTTTCTCTGGACTGCTCTGATCTTCCCAGGAGGTTGTCGATGACCAGGTTACATAGAAAGAAGTGACTAAAACAAGGTGTGTATGCTTAGCCCAGGGGCCCAGTCTCTCTCAGAGCAAGGTCTGGTTTCGTTACTCTGCCACCTGGGTCGTCATTGCCTCGTGCTGAGAGCGAGCCCTGTACCAAAAAACTATCTGTTCTATCAAATGACTTCCTTCATCTCTCAGAAGACGCTGGGCAGGTGGGAGAAGGGTGGTGGGAAGGATTATTCTAGACTACAGAGACTGGAGATAAACACCATGCATGAAACTTGGCTGGATCTTGGTTGAAGGGGAGAAAAAACCTATAAAAGACATTAAGGAAAATTTGAATATGGACTCTGTATTAGATAATAAGAAATTATTAATTTTCTTAGGTGAGCTAAGGCATTGTGGGCATATAGGGGAGTATGTTTGTGCTTAGCACCTTGCTCCTCAAGGTGTGGCAGATCTGTGCACAGCAGTGCATCACCTGGGAGAGTCTCAGAAAAGCAGAATCTCAGGGCCCCTCTGACCCACAGAACCTGAGTCTGTGTTTAACAAGCTCCCCAGTGACTCACAGGCCATTAAGTTTGAGAAACACGGTGTTAGGACACGCATGCTGAAGGAGTTACAAGTGAAATGTCACAATACCCATAACTTACTTTAAAATGGTTCAGCAAAATTAAAAGAGAGAAAGAGAGGGGTGGGGGAGTAGGAGGGAGGCACAGAAAAGCAAATGCAGTGAAATAGTCACAATTGTTGCGTCTAAGTGGTGGGATGTAACGCATTCGTCCTGTTATTCTTTCAGTGTTTCTCTCAAGTTGGATGTCTCGTAATAAAAACTGGGGCGAGCAGGAGGTAGTGTTCACATTCTTATTGGGCTTGACCAATCCTTGGCCCAGAAAACAAGTTTTTGAAGGTTGAGCACTATTTTTAATTGGTAGAAGTTTTCTCAGAGGCTCCTAATTATTTACTTCTGATACTCTGTGTATTAGGGCTATGATGTGTGAGGGGGGGGGCTTTAATTTCTATTGTATGTATTGCCTATCTGAAAAACAGCCTTTCAAAGGGAATATTTGAAGCCAAAGATGACAGCATAACATAGCTATGTGTAATTTTTCTAATTTCAGAACCTGGTAGGCAAAGACAAACGGGAGTTCTCTCTGAGATGTTAGCCCACGTGGCTTACATGGGTTCGTAGCTCGCAGCGATCGCTAATGTTTTGTTGGCCACTTGACTCTGTGCCAAGCATCACGCTAAGTATTCAGGGGATGCTAGTTAACAAGATCAAGCAGATGCCTGCCCTTAACGTCATTTATAACCTAGCAGATGAGAAAAACTTTACTTTGTCCGAATGAACATTTACCCATTATTTATATGACATTTTACTTAAATTATGGACATCTAATGCTATACGAAAGCTTTAAATGCATTTTGTGTAAGAGGCGGTTCATATCAGCACGTGCAGACCGTGTAGGACAGTCTTTTGACAAAGCCAGATGGGTCGGTGTGTATCTTAAACAAGAATTACACTTTAATATTCGAATTTAATATCATGTGTAGGTGCGGTTATAATAGAAAAGCTTGTGGAATTTGTTTTTGTTTTTTTTGAAATCCAAACTAATCACGCTTTATTTTTGGCTTCAGGTGGTTACCCTAACAGCAAATGATAAGACAAGTGTTTCTTTCTCCTCCCTCCGGGGACAAGGTGTCATTTACAATGTCATCGTTCGGGATCCGTTTCTAAATACGTCTGCTGCCTACGTTCCTGCTCACACGTACACTTGCAGTTTTGTGACAACAGAGGGTAATTGTTCTTCCCTGGGTGAGTATATGGATTTAAACGGTGACAGTTCTCCTTTGGCTTTGCAGGTGTTATCAACTGGTACGGAGCTTAAGAATTTTTTAAAGTACGTTTGTCACATTCATTCATTCGACACACATCTCCTGAGCCCTTCCTTTATTGCCCTCTCTGTTTTAGGCACTGGGTTACAGCAGCAGACAAAAGAAACAACATATCTGCCCTATTTTAGTAGGGGGGGATGGTAACAAGACAGACAAGATACTTCTGTAAAATATACAGTATCTGAGATAAGCGATGAGAGCTAAGAAGGAAAGATGAAATAGAAAAGGGAGAGAACGAGTGAGGGCAAGAGAACTGGAGAAGGCATGGCTGGGGAAGGCCTGCTGCACAGGTAGCATTTGAGTGAAGACCCAAGAGAGGCAGGGAGCCATGCACATGGCCGGGGGAGGGTGGGGCAGGCAGAGGGGACAGCCAGCAGAGGCCCCCACCTGGGAGCCTGCCTTGATTGCTTTTCAGTTTTTTGGTTCATTTATTTCAATCAGGTTTCTGATGAGGTCTGACCGTTATGTTTAGTTGATGTGTCTTTTAAATCTCTTTGAAGCCTTAGTTCTCACCCTTCCCTCCCTCCTTTGTCTCCTGTAGTCTATTTGTGAAGAAGCAGAACTGATTGTTGCAGACACACTCTCTCTCCTCCTCCTTTCCCTCTTTTCCCCACCTCCTTCCGCCAGGTATATGTTGGAGGTGATGCTGCAGATGCCCGTCAGGAAGCAATACTGTCTGGTTTCTCTTTTTAGTATACCAGCAGCCACTGGTATTCATTGCCCAGCTAGAATAATTCCTCAGGGGTGGAAAGAGTGTTTGTAATATAAATTGTTTATGTATGGAATAAATTACTGTCAGTTCACTTTGCTTTTTTCTTGAACCTTTGCTCTGTATTGATTAACTGCAATGTATCAAGTTGGATGTATCATTCACTAAATTTTTACTATTTTTAGGAAGAGTGTCTTCCAAAGTGTTCTTCACTCTTTTTGCCCTGCTCGGTCTCTTCATTTGTTTCTTTGGACACAGATTCTGGAAAACAGGTATCTCGTCTGATGTAGCTGTTTACATGCCTTGTGGTCTTTTTTCTAAAACGCTCTTGGGGAATTTCTGACTTGTAAGGAGCATGAGCCACTGGTTATCTCCACTGTATTTATGGATTTGTGGCTGGGGTCTTTAGTAAAGATTCTGCTGGGTTATTCTGCATTTTTATTTTTTCTTTTCTCAGCAATGGAGTGCAACCTCCTCTTATTAGGAGGAGAATAAAATTTGATTTGTGCACGAACTTCTTCAATTGCTAGATTGGCTAGTTGACCAAAGATAACGGAGGTTAGAAATCAGGACGTCTGTGTCCAAATATATGTGGGTTTTGCTGATGGTGATCGGCAGGGTTTCATATAACTTAGGCTGCAAGGCTGAGTGGACAGTGAGTTTGAAATGTCTGCTCAGGCCTGGGAGGTTCAGACAGCATATGGGAACTCCGCAATCTGCTCAGTGAAACCCAGTGTGGGGAGTAGAATATATATTATGCTATTAAATTGATTTGAATTCTTTGGGCTGCCTTTTATGTCACTAACGTTTGCAATTACTAAAAAAAAAAAACCTTATCCTTATTTAATTCATTAACAAGGGGTGATCAGAGAATCAATGGGAGAGTGAACCTAATTCTGGTCTTAGAAAAACTGTTCAAACTTGCTTTAATAAACTGAAATAGCAACTCCTCTCTCTATTACTATACTTTTTTTCTTGATTGAGAAAATCGTGAAGAATATTTAATTCCTCAAAGTGTAGAATGATTCTGTAATACAGAATTTAAGTACTGAGCTGTGTGCATGATCCCAAAGGTATTACTAAGGTATTTTAGTGGATGAGGACAATGATTGATGTTTATCCTCAACAGGAAAGGATGAATTAAAGAAGACAAAAAGTCACATTTTGCTTTGGAATATTTTGTTACATATATATATATATTTTTTTAATCTTTCAAATTATATTGTTGCTCATGTAATGAATTGAAATTTAGTATTTGATTCCGATCAGAAACAATGACAAAAGGAAGGTATTGTGTAGCACAGGGAAATACATACAGGATCTTGTGGTGGCTCACAGCGAAAGAGAATGTGACAATGAATGTGTGTATGTTCACGTATAACTGAAAAATTGTGCTCTACACTGGAATTTGACACAACATTGTAAAATGACTATAACTCAATAAAAAATGTTAAAAAAAAAAGAAACAATGACAAAAGTAGTATTTTTGTTTTAAGGAGGAAGTACAAATATATTAAAATGAGCCACAAAATTAAGTTACCTTATCAATTAAAATTGAGCTATAAATAAGAAAATGTATCCTACACTTAATACTTTAATATTATACTCATTTAATAATAACATATCCTCCCAATGGCTTTGACATTTTTCCTGCCTTTTAGATAATTATTTCTCTTTTCTGAATGCCCTCATGTGTACCTTCTGGGAATTTAAACATGTATTTGTAGGTTAGACATTTAAGCTGCGTTGTAAAAGGACTACTTAACCATAGCTTGTGGCTTTTTGTTTTGTTTTCTTTTGTTTTTCCCTTCCCTGGTGTTTCCTGCTAGAACTATTCTTCATGGGCTTTATCTTCGTGGGGTTCTTCTTTTACATACTGATTACAAGACTGACCCTTCTGACGTACGATGGTAAGTGAAAAACGTCTCGCTTGACCGAGGGTTCAAAAAGAAGGTGCCGTGTTGACACCTGCCTCTCCTACGTTGGCCCAGAGCTGAGAATGATGTCCTCCTGTGTGTGTAAAGTAAGGGGCCACCTGTGCTCGACACATCTTCCCTCAGCTTCTCATTCACACCTTCCCTTCCGGGTTTTCCATCCTCGTGGTGAATTCTCGGGTACTTAGGGAAACGAAGGGCCATACTGATTATCAACTTGTGTTCCAGCTGTGTGGCGTATTGAAGAGATGACATTTCCAGCTTCAGAACATTAAGATTTTCTTTACCTTAAAACAACACGACGACTCCTTCCTTGCCTCATTGAACGGAGTGCTTGTCGCCCCTTCTTCCTCAGCCCCAGCTGTATGTTGGGCCAGGCCCCGCCTGTCGCTGGACCTTGGGGGGTGTAGCTTCCCAGCGGGTTTCCAGCCTCAGACGAGAGGCTCCCTCCTTGGAGAGGGCTTTCCCACGCTGGTTTCGCGGCACCCGAGGGACAGAAAGGCTAAGGCTGGCTCTGGTGATGGCACCGTGTGTCTAGGCTGCCTTTGATCCCCGGTTTTCCTCTCCCCTCGTGCAGTCCTGCTGGCGCTGACCGCCGTCGCTGGAAGCGTTGGTGGGGTCTTCTTGGCCGCCGTGTGGTGGCGATTCGGGGTCCTCGCGCCCTGCCTGCTGTGTGTCGGACTCGTGCTGGGCTTCCTCGTCTCGTCAGTGACCTTCTTCACTCCGCTGGGTAGGAGGTGCCCAACTAATGTTTTGTGTGTGTTCAGTTTTACTGTTTTAAAGACTGTTTCGACCCTCCACGCATGCTGCTGCATCCGGGATTCAGGGCTTCTCCTGGAGAATTCTGGACATTGGGGATGAAAATGTGGCACTTTTGGGAGAGTCAGTACTCTTAAGAGTCCCTCTGTCTTCAAAGATGAACTATATAACCTCTTTGGAGGTGGCTTTGTACCTGTTTGTTGTGATAACGTGTGTGTGAGATAGAATTAATGAAAGTAGAGGGGATTCTTAATACATGGCACAATGGTGGGTTTCGTTTTTTATTTTTTTAAAACCCTGAAACTCTTTCTTCAAGTGACTCTTCAGCAGGAGCCCAGTACATCCCACGGATACATTCGGATGCTGCCCTGATGGCAGCTGAGTTGGGGAACCTGATGCTTGGTTCCCGGTGTACTCTTATACCCCTGGCCTCTGCTCCCACCCGTTGCTAGACCCCGAGTGTTCCTAAGGCACCGACTTGCAGTCCTCCTAGGGCTGTAGCTCAGGGATGGTTTTGCGGATTTTTTTAGTAAACTTGTAAGTTAACTTTCTCTTGTAGGGGGGAAAAATTTTCCTTCTGCCCTTCCAGGTTCTTTGGCTGCTCTAATAGTTAAATTGACAAAAGACAGCGTAATAGGAGAAAACCAAATTGAATTTCATATGTCCTGGAGTCCCATTTAAAAATATAAACCCAGAGGCAGTTCAGCAGTTGAGGCTTATCTGCCGTCCTGAGCTAAGACATGAAGGGAGTCTGGGGCTTCAAAGGGGAGGAGGGCAGTTCAGAGGAGCTTAAGAAGAGCAGGTGTTTGGTGGTCAGATGTTTGCCCCGCGATGCAGCTGAGTCTTGCAGATAAAACGCTATCTTTGGTGGTTGCTTGCTTTCTGGGCCAATCCCCACGATCTAAATTCTTTTAGGCAGTAGAAGGGAAGAAACGTTTTTCCTGAATGCCAGGGTCTTGATTGTCTTTAGCACAAAATAATCCACATGCCCAGGGCCACATTTTAGGGTGGCCTATTCTGTCCTCTGTCACTTTGCAGTTGTACAGTACCTTACACTTCCTGGTTGTTGTCAAAACTGCAAAAACAAAGAGGAGTATCTATAGTCAAAGGTTCTCTATTAAGCTATTTCTTGTGATAATGTTTAGTTCTTATATTTCAGTATCAGATTAAAGGTTATGGGAATGTTAGATATAAGAATAGGTGTCTCCTCAGATGAATGGATAAAGAAGATGTGGTGTGTACACACACACACAGAGACACACACACGAAATGGAATACTACTCAGGCATAAACGAGAATGAAATAATGCCATATGCAACAATATGGGTGGACCTAGAGATTATCAAACTAAGTGAAGTAAGTCAGAGAAAGACAAAGATCATAAGATATCACTTATTTGTGAAATCTAAAAAAATGATACAAATGAACTTAGTCACAAAACAGAAACAGACTCACAGGCATAGAAAATGAACTTAAATTGTTACCAAAGGGGAGAGTTGGGGGAGGGATAAATTAGGAGTTTGGGATTAAGAGATACACACTACTGTATATAAAATAGATAACCAACAAGGACCTGCTGTGTAGCACAGGGAACTGTATTCAATGTCTTGTAATAACCTATAATGAAGAAAGAAAAAATATATATGTATGTATAAAACCAAATATATATATATATACACACACACACCTATATATATATAAAACCAAGTATATATAAACCTATATATAAATCCAAATATATATATAAACCTATATATATAAAAAAACCAAATATATATAAACCTATATATATATGTAAAAACCAAATTACTTTGCTGTATACCTGAAACTAACACATTATAAATCAACCAGACTTCAATAAAAAATTTTTAAAAGAAGAATAGCTGTCTGTTGAGGCTGTCCACTCTTGAGAATGCAGGATACAGAGAGCAGTCAGTTCTCTAAAGATCTTTTTAAGACCAGAGAGAATTGGTGACCTGTGATTTACTGACCATTCCAAGTCCCTTTGTTCTGATTTCAGCAAACCTATAGCAAAATCCATTCCCACAGTCCCCCTTACAGGCAGCTTTTTAATCTACCTGCAAAGTAGCAGTGTTTAGATTTGGCCAGATGACAGATTCACAGGGATGTTCGTTGACAATGCAGATTCAGGATGTTAGAAGCGCTAAATCAAATACCGCTTAGTGAGCTTCCTCCCTTTTCGTTAATGCTTGGAGGATGGAGGGGTGATTGGTTAGAGTTTTTTATAGCTAATATGTCAAATTGTCTTATTTTTAGTAGCTAATGCATATGAGCTATCTCGTTGCTCAAGGATATTTAGGGTGAGTGTCTCCTTCATGAGAGTGGGTGCAAACTCCTATTTTTAAGCATTAAAATGTGAAAACTCTGGCTGACCTCTCAAATCTAATTAAATGACTGTTTTCACCTTATTATGTGGCTCACAAAGAGCTTGTACTCTGAAAGGGTCAGTCTTTGCAAGCCTGGGTCATAACTACTATTTTTAATCCCTGGATTCCTCAAAAGACTTTTTTTAAAGCCCCATGTATATATGTGGTTGAACTAGAGAGGATGGTCCACACACTCTGCAGCGGGTTGCAGTTTGCTTTCTGAGATTATGGGGTCTCCAGGTCAGATCCCCTGACCGTGGAACCCCCACTCTTCAAGGCACATGGGTCTCAAGATGCAGAGCCACCTCCAGTTGGACTGAGTGCTGGTGCCAGTGTCATATTAAATAATTCTCAGGCTTATATTCTTGCTATTTAAGCATAATTTATAATAGGAGTTCTAATGTATGAGTCATGAGTCACCCCGAGGTGTGCCGAGTTTTGGAGAAGGGTTTAGTAGGGCAGATAAGAGAGCTCCTGTCTCTCCTGATGCCTGAGGAAATCACATCGCCAGAGTGCAGTGGCTGTGTGGGAAATGAATTGATGGTAAAAATCTCATCAGTGGATTTTGCTGCTGTATTGCAGTTCATATGGTTAGCTCTGAATGCCACTTGTATTTTTCACTTTGCAGAACAAAATCATGGAATTGTAGACACTGATAGCGAGAAAGGACAATTTGGAGCTTGGAGATGGAGTAGTTCAACCTTCTTACCTCATAGGTTAGGAAACTGAGACCCAGCATGACAGCTAATGAAGGGAAGAGCTGGGACTAGTCCAGCCTCTTCTAAATTATCCTGGTCATAAGTGCAGAGCATTTACCTGCTTGGTTTTCCTCCCACTCCTCTACCTTCTTCGAACACACCCTTCAAAGGGGACTGTATTGACTGTTAAGTGAAAAAAATATCAATTCATTTCTAATTGCCAACGTAGTCCCTGGTTGTTACATGAAATCTTCGATGTATGTCTGTGTTCACATGTTGAGAAAGTGAAATTTGACTTAGTGAACCTTTTGTGTACCCTTGATTTTTTTTTTCTTTTTTTCTTTTTCAGGAAACCTAAAGCTTTTCCGTGATGACGCAATATTCTGGGTGACCTTCTCTTGTATAGCTGTTGTCATTCCATTGGTTTTCACAGGCTGCCTAAGAATAGTAAGTGTTTCATGGGGTCAGTTTATTCCTTCTATTGTCCCGGGCCTTCGTTTGTTCACTTGTTGCATCATTTTGCATTTTTATTCACTAGGGAGAGTCTGATAATCTGTATCAGATGATTGGATTTTACGTAGCCTGGTTGCTGTGAAAGTGAGAGAAGTTCTAGTTACGATTACCACCCTGTTTTTTCCATCAAATAGAGCAGGCATTCATCGTGCTCATCATGCTTTTAACAGTGGGAACAGAAGGGAGGGCTTACAGTAATGCCACAACCAGATGGGTGGTTAGTTTCAGCTCTCTCTCCAGAAGAATGGTTCTTCATCTAATTAGAGTTCATTGTTGAAGCTCTTTCACAGAGAAGATATTTCCTATGATGAGGGAACGTGTGTTTTACGAACTGTGGGTGTTGCAGGTTCTTTGCAGTTCATCTTCTCAGGGAACAAAGCTTCATTCAGCTCTAAGACTTGGTTCCTCTTCATGTGCCCTGAGGGAGTGGAAGTGATTCCCAGAGATTGAGGCCAGTGGTGCAAGTTCAGAGCTATTATTGTTCTGCCAGAGGTGATGCCTAAACCCTTCTGTTCTTCCTCAGCTGAACATCCTGAGTTGTGGACTTGTTGGCTCCTATTCGGTGGTCCTGGCCATTCACAGTTACTTGTACACAAGCCTTTCTTACATCACTTTGAACGTGCTCAAGAGAGCGCTCCACGTGGATTTCCGCGGGGCTTTCCTAAACGTGCCTTTTCAAACGAATGGTAAGACTCCAAATCCAAGAACCAGAGTGATAGTCAAATAGGAACAGTGGCCCACCTGTGCTAACGAGAGCACTCGGTAACTAGACTGGAAGAAGGATTCCCTGGACCAAAGGAGGAAACTCACAGAGTACAGATGCCATTAGTGTCCTGTGTCAATGATAACTTATGATCCCAGGAGCAGAGAATTTAAATTTGTAAGGTGGTTGAAGTCCATGCTTCTAAAAACCTGCTCTGTGGACTTCATTAAGACATTTCTAAACCAGAATTACTAGGATTCACCTGGTCAATTCCTAGTTGTGGGGAAAATGCTGAGAATAAAGCTGTTGCACCCCTGAGGAATTGGGGTGGGGTAAGGGGTGAGAATGACAACCTGATTTTGTAAGCTGTTCCCTTGTTTCCCGCCTGTAAAGAAGCAGGTAATTTGCTCATCAAAAGTGAGAAACAGACTCGGAGACATAGTAAACAATCTTATGGTTCCCTGGGAAAGGGAGTGGGAAGGGATAAACTCGGGAGATTGAGATTTGCAAATGTTAACCACTATATATAAAAATAGATTAAAAACTAATTTCTTCTGTATAGCACAGGGAACTATATTTAATATCTCGTAATAACCTTTAATGAAAAAGAACATGAAAATGAATATATGTGCATATATATATTTATATATATGCATGACTGGGATATTATGCTGTACACCGGAAACTGACACATTGTAACTTACTATACTTCAATTAAAAAAGAATTTAAAAAAAGAAAAGGAATATATATGTATAAATGAATCACTGTGTTGTACAGAAATTAACACAACATTGTAAACTGACTATACTACAATAAAAAAAAGATGTGCTGAGATTTAAAACTTTTTTTTAAAAAAAGGTTAAAGTGATTTTTCAATAAGTAATTGTATGGTTTCCTCAACTGTAAGAGTCTGCCCGTTAAAACTTTCCATGAACTTTTTGAAGGGAAAAAAAAATGACTACTGAATCGAATGTTCACCAAGGTTTATGATACGTTGGTTTCAGAAATGTTAAAATAGAGAGGATGGAAAAGCAGGTCTTAGAATTGAAGACCCATAAATCCGATTGTGATTGTTTTGAATATTTAAGGGCAAGTCTTTCCCTCTGCTGTCCTGAACCTGCCTGTGTTGTTTGAGAGGTTGACGATGGAGACCTTGAAAGCCACATGTCTTGGAAGTTTGACAATATTTTGCCAAGCCTTTTATTGGAAGCTCAGTACAATTTGTTGAATTCTTCATGCATTTCTATACCCATCCTACCCAAGGGGGATGGGTATAGAAATGCCATACAGGTTCGAATGGGGAAAAACAGCATGGTGGCCTCTAATGTTCCATGATGTACATTAGTGAGGTATACCTAGATCACTGCCTTTTCCCCACCTTCTCTGGAGAAACACAACAAACAGCTCTGCCTGTGGGCACTAGTCACAAGATATTGGAATGACAAGGATCCAAACAACTGATTCCTTTACAACCTGTCTGGATCTCAAATGCCTGTAATAGGAAATTCCTATTTTAAAACTTGAGACCAGAGCTTCCTCGCTCATTCCTTGGTTTGTAAGTGAGGAAATACACGTCCATTTGGACTGACTTACCAGAAAACCTAGTGTTAACTGAGGAAGGATGAAACGGAGGGAGGCTAGGCAGTGTTGTGTTAGATCTGTGTTAGGTTTTAAAATTCGAGAGTTCACGCTGCGCTTTTCTCCTGGCTTCTAGACTTCATTATCCTGGCAGTGTGGGGGATGCTGGCTGTGAGTGGCATCACGTTTCAGATTCGCAGAGAAAGAGGGCGGCCGTTCTTCCCTCCCCACCCCTACAAGCTGTGGAAGCGAGAGCGAGAGCGCAGAGTGACCAACATCCTGGACCCCAGCCACCACATCCCTCCGCTGAGAGAGAGGCTCCGTGGCCGGTTGGCCCAGATCAAAGAGCTCTTCCGGAAGGAACAGCCCGCCGGAGAGAGGACGCCCCTGCTTCTGTAGGGGCCAGCGGGCTGGGCAGCACAAGTGTGATCTTGCAGTGCAGCCCAGGCACCGCCTCGGAGTTGGTGTTGATGACCAGGTGCTGAGAAACCGGCGTCTGCACCTGCGCTTTGTACAGTATTGTGGTGTCCTTCTGCGCATGGGGTAAGGGTGTGCTGGGGAGATGACAGTAATTCTCAGTCAGAGTGAGAAGGATGACCAAAAGTGCTGGTAGGGAGGTTTTTCCTTATTACTGAATGCCTAAGAAATTCCCCTCTGGTTTATAAATATATGATCAACTTATTCCGTTAACTAAATACACTCAAAAAAAAAAAAAGAAAAATTAAAAATCAGTTGTTCTCCCGATACTTTCTTTTTATAACTCCTGGAACAATTCTCTCACCTGACTGTCTAAACTCTGGGGCTGGGGTGCAGAGGGTGGTTTTATTTAAGGCTTGCACTGTATTTTTATTTGCTCCTGTGTTTGGAGGATTCAGTACTGCACCTTTGAACTTCAGAGTACAAAAGAGGTAGAACCAACTTACTTTCTTACTAAAAGCAGTCTGATTGCTTAGTTGCACCTTTCTTAGCATCCTGTGTTATCAAAAGATACCACTCTTTTGTTTATTTAATTGTGGTAAAACACATACTTACGTTCCAATCATTTTTAAGTGTGTAGTTCAGTAGGTGCCCTTTGCCTTTTATGGCCCCAAATGGTAATTTAAATAGCTACATTATTTCAATTATTTGAAAATAAGTCAATTTATATGAATAATACAACTTTTATAAGAATGATTTATTTATATTGCAGATTTAAAAAGGGCCCTTTTTTTCCCCCTTCAAGACCTTTTAAAATAATATTGACAGTTGATCTCTAGTAAACTGTATTAGATGGACATAAGAATTATTTTGTTGTTAGGAAAGAGGTTGGCTCCTAACTTCATCTACATGTAGTCCCATTACTAAGGAAATCTTTAAAAAATCTGCGTTTTGTAGTTCTTTCTGCTAAATGAGTTGTTAGAGCATTGATGTAAAATACAGTTTCAAAACATTTCTGTATGAAGCCTTCGTGCTGTCTGTGCTTCAAAGTGATGAGGGGGAAGTCAGAAGGGATTCAGGTGTTTAATAGAGCTGCTTTTAATGAGGACCTTGGATTCTGTAAGGAGAGACTCTTCGGTTTTGACTCTTTTTTTGTCCACCACGAGGCACTCGGATGCCCTGGGTTGCATCCCTACCCCTCATGGCCTTTCCTCTTAACTTTCAGAGCCTCTTCCCAGGTTCTGCCTTGGATTCGAGGCTGGCGACTCCGACAAGCCTGGGTGATGGTGAGCCCGGGTGTGGTCGCTGCATTTCCACTTGTGAGTGAACCACTGTTTAAACGATGCTGCTTCTAAGAGTTTTTCAGAATAGATTTTTGAAGTTTCAGTTGACTGGAAAATTTTCAACTTTTGCTTTTCAAAGTGTTTTGGAAAGGCTGAAACAAAATGAAAAAAAATGTATAACTAATCCTTTCTGCTTTGAAAAATTATACACAATTGTTCGTTTATTTATTTTGTAAACTTCACTGTTTAGATAACTTCAGTAACACTTAAACGTGAAGAGAAAAATATGTTTTTTTTTTATAATTCACCATAGGGATTCTGGCTTCTGCCATATCATTGTAAATTCTAACAAAGTTACATGGAATATTTGTGAGTTATTTTCTATACCATCAAAATGCACTGCCAGTGAGGATTGTAAAGACAGAACACACTTTCTTGGGGGGGTAGGGGGTTACAAATTGTTTAAAATTTTTCATGATAATTTGTGAGTAATAAAAAGCCAGTTTGTATAATTTTTTAAATAATAAATACCTATTTTGAAAAAAAAATGCTAAAAGTCTCCTTATTATCAAATTCTTATAAAATTTTTTCCCAACTGTATTGGTACCAAAGTAATAAGATATGCGAGGACAATTTCACAGCTATAAAAATGAAATCATTTCATCTGGACAAGTAATTCTTTATCTTAAAAAATCAGTTAAAGCATAAATGGAATGATAGGAATTGAAGGGAACTTGGGGGCATGGGTTAAAAGTTGTAAGCTTTGTTAGAAGGAAAGCTGATGTCTTGAATGCGTTAGTTTGTGTTGGTGTCATTAGCCCTTCAATCGTGTCAAGTCAGAAAAACAGCAGTGTTACCAGAAACTTGGTCTTACTGTTCTTTAGTTGTTTTGGTTCTGACTAACCTCTTAGAGATCAGCTACCAGATTGTCAAAGCCCAGCAGCTAACCAGTGCTACGGACCAGTTGAGTTCTGTATAAAATGGGATAGAAAACTGATTCTAACAAAGAAATTACTAGAATATTAGACCAGGAATGAACTTTAGAGATCACGTTGTCTGATCTAATATGTTAGCATGTTATTTTACACCTGAGGAAATTCTCAATCAATTATATGAAGTCACAGTTATCAAATAGTAGTGCCCAGACCAAAATCTGGGATGCCTAACTCCCTGTTCAGATGTGCTTTACACTCTTATCATTATGAAAATGTACCTCATTGATTATTTTCAATATCCTTCTGCTGGTGAATTGGTAGGGAGCTCCTAATGTTTATATTGCCGTGATATCTTTTGGGGAATTACCAATTTTACACAGTGAAAACATGTTTTTTCCAAGTTAATTCTCTGTGATCCTGGACCATTTCCTGTTCAGTGCAGAGTGTATGATAGATACTTGAAATTTCCAGTGTTTTTAAGTATTTCTGCACAGCTGCATTTGTGTAGTTTTTTTTTGGTATAAAGTTTATTTTTTGATAATGTACTTGATACCTGTTACTAACTTTCATTAAAACCTCAGAATTCTGGGCGCTCATTTCCTGAGAACTGGGCCGAAGCTTCCCACCGCACCCAGGGAGGGAGGCTACCTGTGTTTTCCGTTTTGATACGGGCTGAACTGTGTCTCCCTCCAAATTCATGTGTTGAAGCCCCAGCCTCCCAGTTCTTTGGAATGTGACTGTATTTGGAGAGAGGGCTTTATTAAAGAGGTAATTATGTTAAAAATGAGGCCACTAGAGTAGGCCCTTATCTCATCTGACTTGTGTCTTTACAAAAAGATGAGAACACACAGAGACACTGGAACAAAGTACATTTGAGGACACTAGGATGCCAGCCATCTGCCAGCAGAGAGAGGCCTCAGATGAAACCAACCTTGATCTTGGACTCCCAGGCTCCAGAACGGTAAGAAAATGAATTTCTGTTGTTTAAGTGATGTCACACAGTATTTGTCTTTCTCTGCTGACTTTTCTCACTCGGCATAATGCTCAAGGTCCATCCATGTTGTCACAAATGGCAGAATTCCCTTCTTTCCCATGGCTGAATAACATTCGATTGTACGTATAAGCAACATCTGTTTCCATTCCTCCATTGAAGGACACTTAGGTTGCTCCCCTATCTTGGCTATTGTGGATAATGCTGCAATCAACATGGGAGTACAGATATTTTTTTCAATATCCTGTTTCCGGTTTCTTTAGATACATATCCAGAAATGGCATTGCTGGGTCATATGTTGGTTCTATTTTTATCGTCTTCTTTTCCTCATTAAATTTTAACTGTACTACAAAATGGCACAGAGCGCACTGCGTCTTTTCATTTACCTTTCTTTTTCCATTCTTCCCAAGACCTTAGAATTTAGCAATTATTCCCTGGCAGGCACATCAGAACACTTAAGTGACCCACACACCGTGGCCCTTGGAATCATTCCTTCTATTCCAGAGTCCTGCACATACAAGTATGATAATATACCTAACTCTGCTGCCCCAGGGTGAATGCCTTCCCCTGGAAGGAGGTTAAAGAATGGCCACATTCTTTTTTTTTTTCTTTTTGAAATCTTTTGCCTTTGAAGTTCTTAAGGGCAAAGAGGTTATTCTGTCTCACATGAGGTTTTATGGCTCCTCCTGTGAGTGGATTCTTTATTGCCCAGACTTGCATGTGATCAGCTTGCCTGAACTCGTGGTGCACCTACTAGGAGGAGCATGGGAACCTGTGCTGGGAGTTTCGAGGAAGCAGGTAGAGCATCAGAAGATGAATGCAGCTGGTAAGATGTATGACTAAGCAGGCCTTTGCACCCAACTTCTCCAGGGACGGTGTTTTCAGGAATTGAAGTAGACCTCAACTCCTTTTCTTAAGTAAACCAGCTGTCTCATTCAGAGACCATCCATGTATCAAAATTCCTCAAAAAGACTTAAATATATATATTGTTAGGGCTGGGCTTAGAGTTCTAGGGGACTGATTTCAGGGATGGGATTGAAGGCTTCTCTGAAAAAAAACTCACTCCCTCATCTTGTGTATTGATGCCTGAAGGTTTTTGAACAGAGGACAGTTTCCCATTCCATGAATTACTCAACCTTTCTTCCAAACCAGCTGTGCCCCTGAAGCCCTTTAATAATAACACACCATGATTTTCTTTCTACTGTAGAGATGTTTTTCACCTCTTGTATTCTGTATAGGTCTTGAGTCTGCCTGACTCAGCCTGATCATAGGACAAAAACCTATGATCATTGAGCCAGGCCTTCAAAAGGACATATTCTAGGAGAAGCTTATATTTGAAAAATTCATTCACTTGCTCTCACATCAGCTTTGGCTTGATAGGACTGAGCACTGGACCCCTGATTGGGGCTGAAATCTGAGATGAAGCTGACAAATCCTCAGGCATTTAAAGCAGCCAAGGGCTACTAGCTGCTTATCAACTATTTCCACCAGTCAAAGCTCTGTCCTGAGGCTCAGGGTTACGCACATACATGACAGGGACACACTCTTAGGGAACAGTGATTCTAACCAGCTGTCTTCATTGTTAGTTTTACAGGAAGCCCAAATGTAGCCTTCTGATACTAAAGAAGTATACCATGTGTTTCAAGATGAGCATATTTTTATTCAGGGTACGACCCTACCCACTGATACTGATTTTAATGTAGTGAATTTTCTGAAGGCTTTTGGTTAGCAGGGCACAGAAACGAACTGGCTAGTATGTATAAACAATGGAGTAAGTTGTTGGTATATTGATATTATTTGCTTATAGACAATATCCCCCAATGCATTTGATTTTCACATGATTGTAATTAAATGTGCAATTTAGTATTAAGCTTTTTATTATGCAAATTTAGGTTCATATTTTTATTCCTGTTGCTAGAATCTTCAAGCCATAGTATATAATAAACTTCACTGAGTAGGTATCTATAGTTTTAGATTATTAAATTTACTAAATTTAGATTAATTAAATTTACTATTTCCCTATTGTAGAGTATTTTTTTCCCCTTCTTAAAAATTGAAGTATAGTTGATTTACAATGTCGTATTAATTTCTGGTGTACAGCATAATGATTCAGCTATACCTATAAATATATACGTATTCTTTTTCATGTTTTTTTCATTACATTACTACAAAACATTGAATATAGTTCCCTATGCTAGACAGTAGGACCTTGTTGTTTATCTATTCTATACATAGTTTTGTTTTTGTTTTTTTTTTTGCTAATCCCAAACTCCCAATTTATCCCTCCCTGCCCTGGTACCCCCCTGGTAACCATAAGTTTGTTTTCTATGTCTGAGTCTTTTTCTGTTTGTAAATAAGTTCAATTGTATCATTTTTTTTGATTCTACATATAAGTGATATCATGTATTTGTCTTCCTCTGACTTACCTGATTTAGTATGGTAATCTCTAGGTTCATCCATGTTACTGCAAATGACATTATTTCATTCCTTTTTATGGCTGGTAGTATTCCACTGTATTCATGTATCTTCTTCTTTATCCAGTCATCTGTTGATGGACATGTAGGTTACTTCCATGTCTTGACTATTGTAAAAAGTGCTGCTATGAACGTTGGGGTGCATGTGTCTTTTTGAATTAGAGTTCCCTCTGGATATATGCCCAGGAGTGAGACTGCTGGATCATATAGCAACTCTATTTTCAGTTTTTTAAGGAACTTCCATACTGTCCTCAATAGTGGCTGCACCAATTTACATTCCCACCAACAATGTAGGAGAGTTCTTTTTTCTCCACACCCTCTCCAGCATTTATCTTTTGTGCATTTTTTTAATGATGGCCATTTTGATTAGTGTGAGGTCAGATCTTATTGTAGTTTTGATTTGCGTTTCCCAAATAATTAGCATCATTGAGCATCTTTTCGTGTGCCTCTTGGACATCTGTGTATCTTCTTTGGAGAAATGTCTATTTAGATCTGCCCATTTTTTTTAATTGAGTTGTTTTTTTTTGATATTGAGCTTTGTGAGCTGTTTTTATATTTTGGAAGTTAATCCCTTGTTGGTTGCATCATTTGCAAATATTTATTTTTTCCATTCTGTATGTTGTCTTTTCATTTTGTTTATGGTTTCCTTTGCTGTGCAAAAGCTTTTAAGATTAATTAGGTCCACTGGTTTATTCTTGTTTTTAATTTCCATTATTCTAGGAGGCAGATCCAAAAAATATTACTGCAATTTATGTCATAGAGGGTTCTGCTTATGTTTTCCTCCAGGAGTTATAGTAACCATTCTTATACTTAGGTCTTTAATCCATTTTGAGTTTATTTTTGTATGTGGTGTTAGAGAGTGTCCTAATTTGTCTTTTACAGGCAGCTGTCCAGTTTTCCCAGCACCACTTATTGAAGAGACTCTTTTCTCCATTGTATAGTCTTACCTCCTTTGTTATAGATTAATTGACCATTAAGTTCATGGGTTTATTTTTGGACTTTCTTATTCCATTGATCTGTATGTCTGTTTTTGTGCCAGTACCATATTGTTTTGATTACTGTAGCTCTTATTGTAGGGTATTTATATTGAATCCAATTTGTCCTAACAGTATCATGATGTGGATTTAACCAGGAGTGATGCTGAGAAATGGTAGGATTCTGATATACAGTTGACCTTTGACAATGCAGGTTTGAACTCCATGGGTCTACTTACATACAGAATTTTTCAGTAGTAAATACTACAGCACATGATCTGTGTTTGGTCAATCCGTGGATTCTAAACCTTGGATATGGAGGAACTGCATATGTGTAGGGTCAACTGTAAGTTATACTCAGATTTCCGACTATATAGAGTTGGTGCTCCTAACCCCCAAGTTGTTCAAGGGTCAACTGTATGTAGAAGGGAGTATCAACAGAATTTGCTAATGAATTGAGTGCAAGATTCAAGAAGAAATGGAGTCAAAGATGCCACCAAGGGTTTTGGCCCTTGTAGTTGGACGTATGGAGTTGTCATCAACTGAGATGGGAGAGATCTGAGAGTAAGACTGGGAATGCAGCTTTGGACGTCTTAAGTTCAAGGTATTTCTTTGATAGTCACAGTTGGATGAGTCAGGAGTTAATGAGAGGTCTAGGGAGCTGTAGACCTGGGAGTCACCCAGCATACAGGTGGTTATTAAGAGTCATGAGCCTGGGTGAGATCATCAGGACAGTGAGTATAGATAGCGAGCAGGAGTAAGGCCCGAGGTCTGTGGTTCCCTAACGCTAAGAAGTCAGAAAGAAGAAAACAAAGGAGACTGAGGGGCAGTCAGTGAGGTAAAAAGAAAACGTCCCCTCAAATTCATTAGAAATTATTCTTCATTGATACTTCACTAAAAAATGTACTCCTGTTTTACACTGATAGTCAAAAAAGACAGTAGTCACCCCAAATTAAGTGAAGCATCTCTGATCTCCCATTCATTATTGAGTCAGTTTAAAAACACAGAATTTTGGAAGTCATCTTGATATTTAAGAATATCAAAGAATATCGTTTGAGCAGAAAACACTTCATCTGTGAGGCTGTACATAACTGGTTTTTTAGAGCTGCACTCCACTTATAAAATAAATAATACAGCAGACAGAAGATAAACAATGGGTGATGTTGTCTCCAGGGCTGCTGTAACCAATTACTGCAGGCTGGATGGCTTAACAGAAATGTATCGTCTCAGAGTTCTGAAAATCAAGGCGGCCTACAGTGTGAAATCAAGCAGGGCTGGTCCCTCTTGGAGGCTCTGAGGGGGACAACATCGCTCCCCACATCTCTCCTGGATTCTGGGGGCCCCTCATAAAACTTAGGGTTCCTTGGTTTGCACATCTGTCTCTTGTCTTCACAGGACTTTCTCCTGTCTGTGTTTCAAATCTCCTTCTTTCTTATAAGGACACCAGTCATTGGATTTGGGGCCCATACTAACACCAGGATGATCTTATCCTGAGACCTTTAAATCTACAAAGACTCTATCTGCAAATATGCTCACATCCACAGGTATGGCAGGTTACAGGACCTGGACATTCCTGTGGGGGACACTATTAAACCCACTACAGATGATCAAAAGTTCTGCAGAATCAGCAAAAAGTTGCTGGCCAACTCCTAAGAAATACAGACAGGAGCTGTTGCTAAGTACTAAATCTATGGTAAGAAAAGATAAATAAAAAGCCCTGAAAATAAGCTGTATGTAAGAATAAATGTAAGCACTGTTTTCAAATTAACTTGGAGATCATACCAATTTTAATCATTCGTCTTTATTGACAAAATAGGTTCCCAGCAATACATATTCTCAGACATAAATTTAAGGTTCTGCTTGAAAAAAAAAAAGGATAGAACACTGTTGCTATATAACAAAGTAAATGTCTTTAAACATCAAGTTCTTAAATATTGAAGAAGAGCAAGAATAAATTAACTCAACTTGTTTGTTTTACAAAAATAATTATTTCTCAGTGTTTATAATAGAGCTGCCCCAATGAATTGCCTCAGACTTAATCTCAATTATGTAGCTTATTCTAATTCTTACTGGGGATAAAAACTCTATGAATGATCTGCCATCAAATTAAAGGATACTTTCCCCAAAATCAATAGAAAAGTTTAAAAATGAAAACTGTCACTTGTTTATAAAATATCAATTAAGGCCTCTGAATGAGAAAAGAAATCAATTTAATGTTTGGGCCATTTGCCCTTTTCTGTTCAATCTGTCCCATCAACCCCACTTACTCCAAACTTAAGATAAAAAATTGCGAAGTGAAAAGCAGTTTTGAATTTCACCAATATATGAAATTGTACATAAAAGTTACTACATGAATATTACCTTAACAAATTATATACTCAAAAGTAGAATGTTCTATCATGCTGATTTTAATATATATTTAGTATAAGTGAGTACAGTATATTAATCATATTTGACACATCCTTTTATAATCACCACAAAATACAAAAAATTTAGATTTCAGTTGATGTTAAAGCACATTCCTATTTCTAGCAGCTTTTAAAAATTTATACACTGGATATATATTTTGTAAAAAGTAAAACAAATACTTATAAATCCACAGATTTCCCCTATGCCACCCCCCAGTCCTTTGACTGAAAGGTGACAAGAAACATCTCATAGGCTCTGAGGACCAAGTGGAGCTTAAGAATAGATCTAGAAAAAAAATTTTTTTTAATTTTAATTTACTGCATCTGTATCTCTTAAGAGTGATTACTGTTAAAAAAAAAAAAAGGTTCTGAGGCAGAGGAATTCCCAACTTACTTTGAAATCACCCTAGCCCACCATATCAAACATTTCAACTGTTAGCTAAATGAGCTGCATGAGATTTTCCCTCTTGTTTTCATTACTGATTTAGAACCAAAACTTATTCCTTCAAAGAAGTAGTTTAACCTACTAAATATGTCTCTTATAAGATCTACTTTCTTAGAAAGTAGTATTTCTTCTCTTTCATTCCTGAAATATTTCGTACACTTATGCAAGTCATGGACAATTGTTAGCTCAGTATTAATTATGATAAATTAGCTGAGATTAAATTACCTCTTTTGTTTATGATGCGTATGAAACATCCCTAACAGACTTTCAAACTGCATTTTTTTTTGACAAAAATTTAAATTAATGAGAAGGTAAACAGGTAATCACTGAAGCTGAAGTCTCATGGTACATAAGCTATGTGTTAACCTTCACCAAACAGGGAGGATGTAATTAAGTATGATGCTCTTCCATTCACCATACTGTGGCAAAAATCTATATTTTTAAATTGGGATAATTTAATGAATTACCAGACATGTGTTGGGACTATTCATGCTTATCCAAGTATCATCCAGAAAGCCAAGAGCACTGCTGAAAGTTCTTGACAATGTTCAGCAGTCACTGTGAAACTCTTTAACTTGTTCACCAATTAACAGAGGCTTCCTTTCTATTTTTCAATTTATATTTTGGAATAACATTCTAGGACCGTTAACTATGCATTTTTTTGCTGCTATCTTTTAAAAATGTCATTGCCAGTGCACTATACACATGATAGAAAAAAAATAAAACAAGGGTAGCTTGAGATGGATTTCTCTTTTAATTTATTCACTTAATAGGCCAGTCCCAGTGACGGTTGGAGCCTTGTAACAAGTTCACAGACTGAAAAGCTCTTCAGCTCTTCCTCAGACTCAGGTCACTACTGGTCACTAACGCTGACAAAGACGTACTTTCCGAGCCATCGTCTTTCCTAAGGTTCAAGAATGATTCTCGAGTTATTTGAAGGATCTCTCTCAAGCCTTTATTTTCTTGCTATAAGAAAGCAAACAAAGACAAAGAAGCAGTCACCATGGTGGCTACCAGAGTACAAACAGAGCTTAAGAAAAGCCAAACACATGAAGGCATAAGAAATAAAAGGCAAGTACTGTAATTGGCAGAAATGTACTAAATGATACATGACAGTGCAAGTGGGCAACTTGAATGTAGGGAACCCTTTTTTAGAGAGGTTGAAATCATGTGTTCAGTGCCTTCCACCACTGCAAAGCCTGGTTACTTCTGCAGCTGTAACTGCAGACAGAACCTCAGAAACTGCCTTATTTTACCATCACAGGATAGATAAACTAACACCAAGATTTATACTTATATAAACTCAGAAAGTCTGTGAATGACACCTTGGGACTAGAACCTCTCAGTACGTTAGCCCTTTTTTTATTTCTCCATGATGGCATGCATGGAGTGCAGGGCAAGCCATCTGGCTTGCTTCCCTCACTGGAACTTAACAGCAGCAGGGCTGGCTGAACAGACTGATATTTTTCAAGAAGGAAATTAATGACCAAATCTAGCACTGCTAAACAACTTTGCCTCCCCCCCTTTTTTTCTAGATTAGTTACTGTAGGAAATTTTTAGACATTTAAAAATAACTTTCATCACTTATTCTCTACTGCTTTGTCTTTGGTTTTACTTTTTAAGTTTCAGTGGTTATGGCCTGGCTTGAGGCCTGTTATTGTAAATTAAATTTTACGGCACACAGTTGAGTCCAATCTTATTTTGCGTGCAGGGCTGCTTCTGCGTTACAATGGCAGAGCTGATGAGCTGCAACAGAGAATGTCTGGTGTGCAAATCTCACAAGATTTTTGCCTGGCCTTTTATGGAAAAAGTTTGCCTACCATGGTTATAAAAGAATGAGAGAATGTTTATGCTTAGAGAAATCATTTCTGGCCTTCTAAAACCAATTTCTCCACCATGATTTCAAAATGAAGCTTTTAAAGTTATAAAAGTCTATTCTACTGACTTGAGTTATTCAACAACGACTTGTGCTTCTGCCACCACAAAATAAAGGCCAGATGAGATAAAAGCTTTTATATTCCCCAGAAAAACAGCATCACTGTGATCTCCGACAGAATAAAGACATTTTTTAAAAAACTGCTAAACTCAAAAAGTATATTCACCTAATATAACAGAAGAAGCACAGGATCAGAAAAAAATCAATTTTCTCAATTACTGGTGTAAGTTTACTATTGATCCTAAACTCCTGCATTACTCTATAAATGGTCTTGCATTATACACTCATATAACCAGTATCCAGATTAAGAAAAAGAACAGTACCAGTATCGCAGAAAGTATATATTTAAAAATAGGATATATTTTCAGGCATAAATCTTTGAATGAACAGTTTTCACCTACATCTGCAATTTAAAACTTACTTCAAGTTGAAATATTCGTTCCTGTTCCTTGCAACCCTGCTGCTCATCAATTTCAATGGCTTTCCTCATTACTGCTGCCATTTCAGTTATCTGGTCAACATGTGCTTGTAATTCCTGGAAAAAAAAAGAGACGGCGTTGTGAATTGGTGAAATACTTCATTATTTTTACTTTAGGATCGTCTCCTTTTTATAAAAACTACATTGACACTTAATACGAACAATATCTTTCCACTGCCATTTAACATAAACGTAATATATCAAACAGATATTTACAAGAAAGTTGACTGACTGTGAATGTGCTTTTGAAATTAGGTTTCTGTTAGGACTAGGATTAAGGATGAGCAGCATAATATAACTAAACCCACTAACAAGAAGGATACCCATATTTCACATTCCTCTCAGGACAAATGATCAGCAACTTTCTCTTTGTTACACCCACACATTCACTCTCTTTTCCTCCCTGAAGTCTTCATGATTTACAAATATTTTCTGTATTATCCATTCTTAAAAACTGATCTCAATTCACTCTGAAGCTTTTCTAGATTAGAATCCTCCTTGAGAGCAGGAACTGTATAGTGTTTGTATTGCCTATCATTTAATGTTAGGTACATGATAGATAATAAGTATTGAGTAAAATGAACAGAGTTCTGCTTTTAAGTATTCAAACATCAAATAGCCTTGTTTGCAAACTGTTCAAAATATAATTCCAGTGTAAAACAGACATCCACATTTGCTTGGCACAGCAAGTAGCATAAAGTTCTCCTCATCTTGTTCTCTTATTCTTTTCTGCACACCTATGATGTGCCAGACACTGTGCTGGGCAGTAGGAATATGAAGCCTGTTAAGAAATGTTCCCTGATTTCAAGGAGCTTACAGTCAATGAAAGAGAAATGTTCCCTGATTTCAAGGAGCTTACAGTCAATGAAAGAGAAATGTTCCCTGATTTCAAGGAGCTTACAGTCAATGAAAGAGACAGACAAAAGGTTTAAAATCAACAGAAACAGAATAATAATTTTTTAAATGAACAACTTCTATAGACCATTGTTCACTGGCAATCAAGAGTTATTTTATTATACTAAGGCCAAAACTTACATATAAAAGTTAATAGTTTCCAAAATAAGCATTAAATCTCTTAAATAGTTGTATATACTCTATTTGTAAAAAGGATTTGAACAAGACCTGCCCCCCAAAATCTATAAAACTAGTAAACTATGGAAGAAATAGAGAACAAACAGGAATATCTTTAGCAAACCACACGTTTAACATCTTCTTAATTAACAGAGCTCTTCATACTATTTTAATGCGATCTATACAATACTAGTATGCAGGAAAATGGCAAAATAAAGGGCTATGCTGTCCAACATGGTGCTATTTACATTACAATTACCGGAGGTCAAATACATTTTAAGAAATTAACAATTCAGTTCCTCAGCTGCACTAGTGACACTTCAAGTGCTCAACAGCCACATGTGGCTGGTGGCTTCCATACTGAACAGCGCAGATAAAGAACACTTCCAGCACCGCACAAAGTCCTACTGGACGGCTCTGGATTAGATTACAGCAGCAAGAATGATGCCAAGACAGCTATCATTTTCTGGAACAGTTAAAAAAATGATTTAAAAATCCCTCCCACTGTAAAGGAAGCATAATGTGTAAAAGCAAGTTAAGCACAATAAACTGCAGCAGCAAATAGAATTTTCTGAAATAACCACAGCTTTCTCGGTTTATGGTTTGGTGTCTAGGCACTGACTTAGGATAAACAATTACACAGGAAGGAGATCATTATCTGTCTTTAAAACAAAAAAACAAGAAACTACTAAATCTCAACTGTATAGCTTATTCTTGTAAAATCATCATAAGAAAAAACCCCCCAATACTTGATAAAGCAGCATATTTCTATAGGCCCAGTTCCTGGATGGTTCACTTATTACAACAAAATCTTTAGGGAAGTATCATACATCTTTTAATGGGCACAAGAGGGCAAGACCTGTGCTTTCCAAACTGACTTAAAGGTAAGAAGTGCTAGCAACATAATCCCTGAACTGTCTTGAAATGCCCTTCATTGGTAACTTTCGTTTAGGTTCATTTCAACTTTGCTCAATAAAGGCCTGCCACAATGAAGTTTAAAAAAAAAAATTGTCAAAACACAATGGAGAGCATACTATTATACTTAATCATAACACTTAAACAAAGGCATCTTTCTTTGTGAACACAAGCTAAAGGACTATAAACTATCAGAAATCTGAATTAAAACAACTTAAGTTTGGTTGAACACAATTTTTACAAAGTCAGATTAAAATGACTGCCAAGAAAATATCTTTGATGTCCAGAAAGAGGACGACTGTTTAAAGCTCACTAAAATCCTGCAGAAGCAGTGAGACGGAGCAACACAACGAAAGGATGGCCTAGAGAACGAACCTTTCTTTAAAGCCTGTGATTATCCAGCAGGCGGGCTATGATGACCATACAGAGAGGCAATGACAGACTTCAAGTTGCTACACTAAGTATTTCTGGAAGGCTATCAAAAGCACAGCATTTTCTAAAAAAGCGATTTCATTTATTTGCTGATTTAATTTGGGAGGAATATCCAATGTAAAGGTATTTTTTTAATGGACCCCCCCTTCCACCCACATCCCAAAAGTCGACTGTTTTATTTAGTGTACATTCTGATTTGCTTCCAAGTGCCTCCTCTCCAGTCCATGTTGAGGTGCTTCAAGGATGTGTCGAGATGCATCAAGGAAGAATCCTTCGGAGTGGTTACGATGCACCATGTCAATCTGTAGTATAGAGTCATTATAATGTTAATACGGACATTATCCGTAATTTAAAAACTGAATGAGTGTTAGTTCATGCGTGTTAGCCAACTGTTTGAAATGTTTGTTTTTTTAAGATTTCCAAAAAGGTATCAGTACAAGAATAATGTAAGAATGAGTATCTGAATGAAAATCAGTTCTGCTCAAACTTTTCACTGATTTTTAAACATGTGCTCAAAACCTTCTGGGTGAGTGCAAAATTCTACATTACAGCAGTCTCAGAAGGGCCTCTCACTCCAGAATGCTGTTATGTGTAACTCTGTTTATTATCCCTAAGTGTGTTATAAAATTATTTCTGTTTCGGCCTCTCAGAGCGCTAGCACCTACACACATCCTGGAAGCTCACATATTTCTGTGTCTTTATTATGCACGTTTCTCTGCTCACCCACTTCTGCTTGTGACACCTCCCTCCCCCAGTAATTAATTCAAGGCTGGATGTAGATGGATGTTCTACCTTTCTCTGCCACTTTCCCAGATTCTCCTCATGAGAACTAATCTTGCTTCCCTCCAGTATTCAAGTAATAATTCATATCTCTATTTTAGGATTCATCACATCCTACCTTATATTCGATAACTATGTTTTTGTGTCTGTATCTCCCATTATACTGAAAGCTCCTATGGTAGAGTAATGAAATTTATTCATTCATCTTAGTAATAAACTATGCCAGTGCGAGTGTTAATAAATATTTGTTTGAGTCAAAATGTCTCCTTTTTGGGAAAAATCAAAATCACAAACATTAATATGTATTAGTTAGAATTAATAACAAGTAACCAAACAGTCATTTTATGGAAGGCAAGGATCAGCACTTAGATGAAGAATTTAATCTACATAATGAAAAAGGATGGTTTAGAGCTATCTTACGAAATGTGTAACTCTGCTAATTAATAAAAAAGCTCTGAGGAATGGTAAAATCTAATGTGTTTTAGAGCACATCTACTTCTGATATATCTGCTACCATAAGGGACTAGTGAGCTTCAGTATCGTATTCTAAGTACTTTTTTGCCAGAATGTTCTCTTTAGATCTTAAAAAGTTTACTACTTAGCTTGTTAAACCTAAGGGCCTTTCGGAATTTTTCAAGATGATATTTATTTTACCAATAACTTTAAGTCAATTCATATTTGTACCTTAAAAAAACCTCTGATACATTTAAATTTAAATGTTTTTCAAATGATCTCACAACAACAGATACATTTTATATTCAAAAGATTAACTCTTAACTATCCAAGGTCTTCATTTTGGGTCAGAGATGAATAGCATAATTAGATAATATTAAACCCATATTTATTTACATATTGTTTACTATTTGACATAGAAGGTATTCATTACTAACTTCCTTAATATGTAAAGTAGAATTCACATACCAAAGCAATTTACTAGGTATTTAATTTTAATATAATTAATAATTAAAAAATACTGTCAAGCACCATAATGGATGAGGTATTTAAGGAATCTAAAATGTGTTTCAGTAATGAAAGAGAAAAACACATCTTATAACAATCAATATTTCTTAAATAATAATATTATAACTAACAGTTAGCTCATCATTATCCAATACGAATAATGGTCTAGTAGTCACAGTCTGTTCTGGTATTTTTATTTCACACCAGCAGTTAAAAATCAGTTTAAAATAAAATGTAAATGGGAAAGGATTATTCTGCCTGTTTTTGTAGCAGTTGCTAGCAAACATAGGGACATACACAAAGGGAACAGACACAGGGATCACAATGAGTAACATGAACAGCAGGAAAAAACATTAATTTCTAACTAGTTCAGCTCTGGCTCTAAAAATGCTGTTAACTGATATGTGACTGGCTAGGGAGGTGGGGGTGAGGAAGGCAATATTTTAATATGTTTGTTCTTTTCCTCTCCCTCACCCCATGGTGTTTCCATTAATAATCAGCCTCATCCAGAAAACAGTCCTAAGAAAAACAAATCTACCTTTAGCTGCTTTCAGATTTTTTTTAAAGTTATAAGCATTTAAGTATTTGTTTTTGCAACAGATATCAATACACACATTTATTACGAGAAATATTTCTTAAAAGCAGATAACCTTGAAAAATAATTTTGAATTGAACAGACTTACCTTTATTTCCCAAATAAAGTTTATTTTTGAATATATATTAAAGCTACTAGGAAAGAATGGGAGTGAGAAGAGTAAATCAAGCAGAAAATGACACGTACGTAACATGAAAAAAATAAGGAAAAGCAGAAAATGTCAAAAAGAGAAGTATTCAATATTATGTAAGACACCTGTGATTTAAAAAGAAAAATCTGAACACAAGTTAGCCAACTGTCCCTCTGTTCCACCTCAAATTGTATTTACAGAATGAATTACCTTAGAGTGCTGCTCTTTCAACTTCATTATTATACCTGGATCATCTTTTTTGCTAGCCATTAGCAATCTAAACATTTGCTCTCGATACTTGCTCATTATAAGTTCCAAGGCAGACTGATGTTCTTCCAGGGACGTACGCAGTTCTATCAAGAATAACAGTATATTGTATTCAAACTTGAGTGAAAGATGTACAAAACATTCTCTTCCACATTACATTTATCAAAAAAGCAATTTATAAAGGGGGTATTTTAAAAAAACATGATGCACAAAAATCTAGCCACATGGAAATAAAGGACACCAAATGGAGTCTTTTATTAGTTTTTTATTTTATCTATTTATTTTTTAAAATTTAATTTTTCTTTTTTTTGCAGGCAGGGAGGTAATTAGGTTTATTTGGTTTTTCTGTGGCAGTACTGGGGATTGAACCCACAACCTCCTGCATGCTGAGCATCCACTCTATCACTTGAGCTATATCCTTTCCCCCATTAGTTATTTAAATGACTATTTTAAACTCATTTTTTGAGAACCATTTTAACAAATATATGCCAAATAATACTCAAGTATCAGATGATGCCCTATATTAGGAATACCAAAACGCCAGGGGAGAGTCTAGTGGAGAAAACAAATCATAAATAATTATAATACAATAAGCTCTACTCAAATACATGTAAAAGGTCTGAGAGGAAAAAGTGGTGAAAGCTTCACAGAAGTATACTATTGAGATGAACCTGTGTTCTTTGAGTTGAAAAATAAAGGACAGGGCATTCTAAGCAGGGAGGCATGGCGTGGATGGTGTGTTCAGGAATGAGTTCGATGGCAAGACGAAAGGTTCCACGGAGAGGAGAGGTTGGGAAGAGTACGAAAACAAAGGCTTGGAGGTGACCCTGAGGGCCTCTGGATGGGGAACTAGTACGCAGTGAAGGTTCTCAAGCAAAAGAATAACATGATCAGATATATTTTTGAAAATATCAATCTGATGCTTGTGTTGAAGATGACTGGAAGGGGAAAAGACTGAAATTAGGGAGACCACTTAGGACAGCTGGGGGTCAAAGTGATGGGATTAGAGAAAGAAACTGAGCTACTTCATAGGTAACAGCAATGGGATAAACTGGATATTGCAGGTGAGAATCTAAGGTGACTTTCAAGTGAGGAAGACGTTCATATACAGCACAAGATAAAGAGCAATAAATAAGACTTAGGCATACTGGACTAGAAATGAGATTAATGCCAAGAAGTAACTATAATTGGCTATTTTCCCATTTAAAAAATATTAATTGGTCCCAGGTTGACAGTACAATTGCAGATTAAAGTTCTCTTTTGATTTGCTATACGTAGTTATATCTTGCCTTTGTTTTCTTGTTGCAATTCTCTGATTTGTCTGTTTTCTTGCTGTATTCCCATAACTAATGTGGACCGTGGCCGATGTCTTGCAACTTCATTAAGTTCCTGAATTTCTTCTTGATACTAATGAAAAGATTAAAAAAAAAGTGGAGAAAATATTTGAAAATATGTATCTGATAATATATATTTGCTAAAGAACTCTTATAACTCAGCAATAAAAAGAACCCAATTTAAAAATGGGCAAACAAGATGAATAAGTTCTGAGGATGTAATGTACATCATGGTGACTACAGTTCAGAAGACTGTATTATATACTTGGAATTTGCCAAGAGTACACCTCTAATGTTCTCAGCACACACACACACAAATTATGTAAGGTGATGGAGGTATTAACTAACCTTATTGTGGTAGGTAATCATTTCACAATATACACATATATCAATATAAATTGTACACCTTAAACTTATACAATATTGCATGTCAAGAATATCTCAATAAAGCTGAAAAAAATGGGCAAAACAGTCAAAGAGATATTTCTCTAAATTACACAAATGGCCAATAAACACATGAGAGATGCTTAACATCATTAGTCATTAGGGAAATACAATTCAGTATAAATGAGATACCACTTTACAACCACTAAGATGACCTGAATCAAAAAGCAAATAGTAACAAGCATTGGAGAGGATGTGGAGAAACTGTTAACTCTCATATATTGTTGATGGGAATGTAAAATGATGCAGCTGCTTGGAGAACAACCAGGCAGATCTTCAAAGAGTTAAACATTGAGTTATATGACCCATCCATTCTATGAATAGGCATATACCCTCCAAAACTGAAGACCTATGTCCACACACAAACTTCTATGCAAGTATTCACAGTATTATATCTGTAACCAGAAAGTAGAAGCCAACCAAACTCCATCAACTGATGAGCAGATAAACACAATGTGCTGTACTCTTACAATGAATATGACTTAGAAATAAAAACTAAAAAAGTACTGATACATGCTACAACATGGATGAAACCTGAAAACATTACATTAAAAAAAGTCACAAAAAGTTACACATTGTATGATTCTATTCATAGGAAGTGTCCAAAACAGGAAAATCCATAGAGATAGAAAGATTTATGGTTGCCAGGCGCTGGGGGAAGGGAGACCTAGGGAGTGGGTGCTACTGGATATGGGATTTGGGGGTGATGAACCGTTGTGAAATTAGACAGTGATTATGGTTGCACAGCATGTGAATATACTAAAATCCAACGAACTGTACCCTTCAAAAGGCTAAACTTTATGGTATGGCTCTTAACTGGTTGTCAAACTCCTTTTTGCACAACTCAATACCAGATGTATGTTCACTGGAACACCCGAGTCAAGATAGACAGGGAGGTATGTAAGGCATCTAGGGCAACAGAGTTGCAAACCAAAATAAGTAAACTTGCTCCACTATTTTCAGCAGCTTTGTTAAAAGAAGCACCCCCGAGTTGCTTCCTTTTACAAAATGGATGCATTGCAAGAGAGTAGGCTGTGAAGGTCTATTTACCTCCAGTGATTTCCAACATAATTTTAGAGATTTTAAAATTCTCTTAAGAGTTGAACATTTTTTATCAAAAGAGGGCTTAAAATAGTAGCTCAACTCCATGGCCCACTGGGAAGTGCTTACATACAATGCTAACAAGAAGTGAAGCCACTTCTAGTTTTTCTTTAACTGGAAGCATTAAATGAAAAATAAGGTAGCAAGTATGAATGCAGTAACTGCAAAAGTTGTAAACCAGACATTACTTTGCATCTTTTTAAAAACAATTTTATTAATAGCATCACCTAAATACTCTTACAAGGAAAAATACAACATTTCTACATTATAGAAATAAGAAAAAGAGCAAAATATGTGTCAATATTAGTAAAAGATATTATCTGGTCTTTGTCAAATATATCTAGACCTAAAAAATTCACATATTTTCTAAACTCAAATGTGTATCACTGTCAGAAAAACAAGTGATCAAGTCTACAAGTTTTAGAGAATATATACACACACACACACACACACACACACATATACATGTCTCCTGAACTTGACAAAATTATATTCCAACCTAATTTGAGGCATAGAAGTCAAGCTACTTTTAAATTTTAGAGAACATTAAAAAAAATTAATGAAATACTAATTAAGCGAAGTTTCAGCCACACATAAATGCCAATGACTGCCTTTTTATAATGAAATCAACAAGAAAGAAAAAAATCAAACCTGCTTCATAGCTTCTACTCGCTTGTTGAGAGCTGTGGTTTGCTCAATCAGAGATTCCGCTGCATCGTCGTGATCTCGTAATCTTTCCACAAGAGCTTTAGCATCAGCAAGTGCCTTCTCAATTGTGCAACTCATTTCTAAGGGAATACCTATCATTAAAAATCAAAATCAAGATTCAAAACACAGGTGGGGTGTCATCTTATTTTAGTTTCACATTAGCACAGAGGCTACATTTGTTACTGGGTTGTTCACTGGAGAGAAAAATCATCTAAGAACAGCTGTGGTTTTGCTTCCACTAGGATGGTATAAGCTTGAAAGTGAATTTATATAATATTCAAAGTAATTAGAACCTATAAAAGTGATTTACAGACATAATCAGAATGTATTTAAAACACCCTGAATTTATGGTGGGGGGAAAAAAGTACACATCCAAAGAAAACAATCTATAATATAGAAATTGTGCTCTTTGTGAAGGCAATCCCTATTACATTGTTTGTGAAAAAGGTTACTCTATTAATCTTATTCTGCAGTCAATGATTGTCAGGTCTCTGACCATATGACGCTTCCTAGCCTCTGCTTGGTCAGGTGACCCGAGACACAATTCATAAACATTTATGCATATTGACTAGCCACATGGTCTCTATGAGTCAATGCCATGTCAAAGTGTCAACCTCCTTCTGGAGGAAATTCGACTTCTTACATAAAATTGCATTATAATCCTAACTCTTTCACTTTCCTTAGCAAATGGCAAAAAAAAAAAAAAAAAAAAAAAAAAAAAGGTTTGACTTAGAACAATAGCCATTATGGGAAACCTCTGAAATATTAAAATCAGTAATTAATATGTTTAAAAGGAGCTCAAAAAATTAGGAGACAAAATGTGAAATAGCCAGTAGTTAGCTTCTACAACTGGTATGCTGAGACTTAAAAACAAAATTTTAATTTTAAAATAATCTCTCTCAAAAATCTTAACCTTCTGAAACATACCATTCTTGAATTTTTCTCTATTAAGTTTTACCTGATCTTCTAGATGAGCCACACTTTCTTCAGGATTTTCTCAAAAAATAAAATCACTCTGTAAAATTACTAGGCCAGAAGCCAGGTCTACAGCAGTTATCAGCTACAGATCCAAGTTAAGGGCTATAATTAAGGATTTTCATCAAGGTTAGGAAGACAAAAATCTGCTACAGAATGCAGGACTTTGTTAGATACTACTGTACTAGGCTTTAGATCTGTACCGGCTAGTTCAATTATTAGCCTCTCAGAGATGGAAAAATGCAGCAAAGTAGGAAAGAGACTTAAATAACCCGACTGTGTAACGTTTTAAAAGAAAGAAAGCAAACACAACACATCAGGCCATTTTAGTAGGCTTTCCTTTAAGGTCATACCTAACAAAGATTCAAAATTGCCAACTAAATAAAAGATGAAACATTCAAACAGTATTCTTGGTTGCACTCAACAGCTGAAGTAAAGGGTATCTTGTCCTGTTAATATAAATAGGTTCAAAGCTGAAGAAAAGGACTCAATCAAAATAAATTAAAATGTAAAACTGCCAATTTAGAAAATATTCAACATATGACTAGACATTTCCAGAGAGCTTTAAGAATTAAGCCAGAAATTAATACAATTTCTAGCTCTCTAGAAAAACAACACAAAACAAAACAACCAAAAGATCTGTTTTCTAAGATTTAGGAGGTTTAGATAAGCGCACTTCAAAATACAACAAGCAAAAGGGCCATTAAAGGAACCGATGCCTCATACTGGTTAAAACGCAAAAGGACAACCATCCAAAATCCATCTAAGATGCTGTTCCAAGGGAGACATTAGCCTCCAACAATGCCTCGTCCTTCCTCTAAACTTCCAAGGGAAATGAAAGTCACGGGTAGGTAGGCAATAATACAGCTTTCCTATCTATATGGTAGTCACTATAGCTCCGTATCTCCCATTAATCCTTCTACCATAGAACACCAGATTCTTCACAGTAAATTTTAAAGTTAGTCTGTTCAAAAAAAAAAAGTCAGGGAGGAAGGGAGGAATAAGGAGCAAACTGACTTGTAATAAGTTAAAAAAAAAAACTAAATATAGAAAAAAATTTTGTCTTACAATAAAAATCACTGGTTGTAACAGATGGTGAAAAGAAAATTTAAAAAAAATTGGAAGTCTAGAGAAAATTGTAAAAGATTTGAGAGAAGTAATAAAGGTTTCTCTTGATTTAATATAACAACTCAAGTATGAAGAACCTTTAAAGTCCTAGGTCTCAACCTATAAATGAGATTGCTGGGAAAAGTATCAGAAGAATATTTCTTTATGCTTTGCAATAATACAGCCTCTACTAACTTAATAGGTAGGATGTGCTTCCAAACAAAATGGACAGAAGTTCCTACATATGAAAATATGACACGTGATTTAGACCTGAGAATACCTGTACTGTGTATAATTCAGTAAGTTGCCCCCTCCCCAAAAGCCATGTCCTTAGAATCCTCTGAGCAAAAGAATCTATAGATTAACTGAAACAGAGAACCAAATCTGGGCTCTTTCTAGATAAAGATAAATCTTTCTTTTTGAAATATGAGAAAGTTATGCTGTGTTCTGGGGGTATCAACTTGAGACAACATGGCACCAAAGACCCACTGCCTGTTAAATTCTACGCTTTAATTCAGTAGCTAAGGCTCACGCCTGCCTCAACTAAGTCATAGAATCTTCAGTTTATACTAAGCTTTTATAGCCAATGTTCCTATATGCTAATCCCTACTGCTAAATGAAGCCGCCCTAAATTTTCTACTAGCTGAATAATTATGAAATACTGTTATTTTCTGTTTTTCATATTACCATCAACTGGTACAACATTCTCGCACCAACGACCATACCTACTGAAAAAGAAATCTTACGACTGTCCTTCCATATGGCTTAGGAATACACAGCATTCCTATATATACTAGCAATATACTAATAATTGTATGTTTATATGGTGGATGGATTTAAGTCCCCTACTGAAAAGCCATAATACTCACACTGGTTAAAATACTATTCTATTTTGTGTTTTCTTCCAAGAACATTCCAACTTGTCAATCAGGTAATATGAAAGCATATGTAACTGGATCAGTTATTCACGAATTTAAGTCATGCAACTCTTTGCTTCTTTCTTAGAAATCTTTCTGTTTGTATCATTCCCAGTCCTCAGCAAACCCTAAACAGAATAAATCCAAGAAGGTTCAAGTTCAGACACATCATAATCAAATTTCTGAAAACAAAAGATAAAGAAAAAATCTTAAAAGCAGCCAGAGAAAAATTACACATTACTTATAGAGAACCAACAATTTGAATGACTTAGATTTCTCATCAGAAATCATGAAGGCCAGCATACTTGCATACAGATGTTCATAACAGTTTTGTCTGTAATAATGAAAACTGGAAAATGGAAACAACCTAAATGTCCATCAACAGGTGAATGGAAACACCCAATGTGGCAAATCCATACACCAGAATACCACTCAGAAATAAAACGAAATAAACTACTGACACAACCAATAATATGATGAATCGCAAGAACGCAACTGAAAAAAGCCAAACAACAAAAAAGGGTGTATACTGTTTGCTTCCATTTATATAAAATTATAGAAAGTACAAACTAATATCTGGTGAAGGAAAAAAGATCAGTGGTTGCCTGGGGATGGTCAGGGGGAGGGAGGGATGATTTAAAAAGAAGCATGAGGAATCTTTTGGGAGTAACATGTTCATTATCTTGACTGTGGCAGTGATTTTAAGGGCATCCATATGTCAAAAACCATGAAATTATACATTTCAAATATGCATAGCTTATCAGTCATCTACTATACCTAATAAGCATGGAATTTTTAAAAAGGAGAGAAATCACGAAGGCCAGTGTAAAGTGCTGAAAGAACAGAACTCTCAACCCAGAATCCCATATCCAGTGAAAATACCCTTCACATATGAAGGCGAAATAAAAATCATTCTCAGATGAAGAAAACGAGAACCCGTTTCTGGTAGGTCTGTTCAGAAGTATATTCTTCAGAGAGAAGCAAAACGGTATCACAAGGAAACTCAGAGCATCAGGAATAAAGGAAGAGCAACAGAAACCATAAACATCTAGGTAAAAATAATAGATTATTCTCTTTTTGAGTGCTTTAAAATGTCTGATGTTTGAAAACAAAAACTGTACCTTTTGTGATGGAATTTTCAATTTACGTAGCTGTGATATACAACTACAACATAAAGGAGGAGGGTAATTGGACCTATATTGTAATAAGGTTTCAACATTTCACTTGAAATGATAATTTCAAAATGTCAATTGTAAACTGTAAAAAAAAAAATCATATATATAATTGTAATCCTAGAGGAACCCCTAAAAAAAGCTGTAGAGATAATAGTCAGAATCATAACAGATGAATTAAAACAAATTAAAAAGTTTCAATAATCCAAAAGAAGAAGAGGAAATGAACAAAATACTGAAGGTACAAATAGAAAACACATGGTAAGATGGTGGACCTAAATACAAACATATTAATAATTACACTAAATGTAAATGTTCTAAACACATTAGAATATACCATTGGATAATCTCTTTACTCAGAATTTTAAAAAAGGATACAATTATATGTTGACTATGTGAAACTCACTTCAAATATGATACAGGTAGGTTAAAAGGATGGAAAAAGACATACTATAGAAACACCAATCAAAAGAAAGCCAGCGCGCTAATAATAAGCACCTGAAATATGCTCAATGTGATTAGCTGTCAGAGAAATGCCAACTAAAACCACAATAAGATTCTACTTCACATGTACCTGGATGGCCATAATAAAAAAGATAGTGTCGGGTAGGATGCAGAGAATTTGGGGCTTTCACAGACTGCTGGTTGGAATGTAAAATGGTGTAGCCACACTGGAAACCAGTCTGGCAGTTCCTCAAAAAAACTGCATATGAATCTTCATAGTAATATTATTCATAATATTCATTCAAAGCAGAAATAACCCAAACGTCCATTAAGTGATGAATGAACAAATAAAAAGTGGTATATTCTTATTTTTTGACCAGCGTCTTCCAGAACTGGAACCTAAATCAGTCACTCACGAATCGCCTGGTCAGCACCAGTGAGGTTGTCAATTTGCCTGACTGACCCCTACCATTTCCCAATGGAAAGTGGCCTTGTCACAACCAATCTGCTTTTTGCTACTATAGCTTCCTTATGAGTAAGTACACTGTGACTAGTTAAGATATGCACTATAAAAATAGGTAAGTGGAAAGTGTCTTTTTTAAAATTTAAAACTCCCTTCGCCTATAAGTCTTTCATTTTGTATAGCTCATTGGAACTCCTTTTTATCTGCTAGATGGGATGCAGTCTGACGTGAATCATGAATATAGTCAATAAGGTCTTTAAAGTTTACTCAGTTGAATTTTGTTTTTTAACAAGACCAATTAGGCTTTTTGAAATAATAATTTAACATCCACTTCAAGAAAATTCTTTAGATTGCATAATGAATTATTAGTATCAAAATGAACTCTATTTAACATTTGTCTTGTAACTACATACCTACTCAGGGAAAGGAATTACAAATAGCAAATAATTAAAAGCATACTTTTATTAGCATTTCAGAAAAACAGTGACAAAGTTTCTAAGAATCTGCACGTTCATTTCCTGTATGTGAAACCACAGAAAAGTTTAAAATATTTTATAATATGCATTTACTTTGCCAAATTTTTGAAAACCATCGTGCTTTCCCCAACTTTTTGCCTGGTAACTAGAGTGGGAGGAAGATTGTTTTTCACATTCTCTAACAAGTTTTAAATTTTTAAAAACTCCAATTAAAAAAAAAGATATTTTCCATTTATGTATTTTTATAGTGCATGTCTTAACTAGTCACAGTGTACTTGCTTACATTACCTTCTATAGGTAGGTTCAAATTACAGGTGCAATTTTTTTAAAGCAGTTTCCTCCCTACCCCCACTCCCCTTACATTCTCGCCCACTTTACCACCCAAAGACATCTGCAGTCAGAATCCTGGCAAAGGGTTCAGAACATTTTGCTGCTGATAAAAGAGAAACCACCACCCACCAAAGACAGCAACTGCCAACTGTTTAGTTTCAGATTTTGGTTAAGAAAATGTTAAAGAAATTCATGTCACTCTTCCTTCTCCTTTCTCCACAAATCCTACAGCTGGAACTACACAGAAATACTGTGAGCACTGACATACCATAGATGTGTCTGTAAATGTCAACAATCTAGTTTAGTTAAAAACTTGGATTGTTCAGGCAGGTGCCTCTAATTAGTGGACGATATTAACCGACACATACGCCAACAGGAAAATTAAATGTCAGAGCTATTTACTTTATAAATGTGTATACATCTGTACATATAAATATGCCTGCTATGTGCCAAGCATTGGACTAACTTTTGTTACACAGATGAATAAAGACATGATTGCAGACTGAAGCTCAAACTGGCATGAGAGACAGGTACTTAAACAAATAATGTTACACAACTTAAAAAAATACCTGCAGAAGTACTGTTTCAAGTGCTCTGGGAGCACAGTGGTACTATCAATGTCATCTGGGGGAGTCTGAGATGACAATGGTCTATGAATCGGATCTTGATAGGTGATTAAAAAAAAAAAAAGAAGAAGAGTAAGCATTCAAGCCAGATGGTACAGCACATACAAAGGCATAGGGCTGTGAAAAAGTGCTTGGCATGTTTGGCGAAACAGCCAGGAGCCAGGCATGACTGGATATTGAGGTATTTGGAGGAGAGGCAAAATAAGACGGAAAACGTAAAATGGATTGCGACAGATAGTAAAAGGTCCTAAGTGATATGTTTAACAATTAGGACTTAATTCTGTTAGCAATACGGTTATCGAAAAAGTTTAAAGAAAGGACTAATATAAATAGATTTGTATTTCAGGATGGTAACTCTAGGGAAGGATGATGGAGGGGAAATCAACTTGGGGGGGTGCAACCGTAATGATTCTGGTGAAAGAAGAAAGAGCATAGGGCAGTGCAAGTGGAAATACACAGTTACGGGTGAGCCTTAGGTTTCTAGTTTGGGCAGCAGGATGGATACCATTATCTGAGGTGGGATACAGAAGAAAGGCAGGAAGAAAACCAGGAAGAGAGTGGGATTCTTTGAAAGGCAATTTCAAGACAGTCTGGTTATCCATGACAAGGATCAGGAAAAGATGAATATTTCTTGGAGGGCAGTTTCAAGAAAGAGGGAATGGTTACCCACGTCATGTGCTGCACAGAGGTAAACTGAAAACTGGCAAGGACCCCTCTTCCATCCCTGCCGACCATCCCCCACCCAACCCTGCAAACGGTGACCTCCCAAGTGGGTTCGGCAAGAAGAAAAGAGAGAGAAGGTGGGACCACAGGGTTAGGGTCAAGGTTTTCACCGAACTTTCCGCACCTCGGTTCCGGGGAAAGGTGCTCAGAGCGGAGAACAGCGAGAGGAAGTACCGCGCCCAGGATCGGCCCGCCGGCAGTTCAAAAGGTGGAGCAAAAGCACCGCCAGGGGAGGGAAGCTTCAGACTCCCTACACCCGCTCTCGTCCCTGGACTGATTCCACTTACTCCGGTCTCAATCCCTCGCAGCTGTCAGCCGTGGCGATTAGGACTCAAAGCCTCTGCCAACGGGACCTGTGCACCCAAGGGAAGAGACGCCTCTCGCCCGTTCAGCTTCTTCAGCGAGCAGACGCACAACCGAACAGAGCAGTGCGGCGGCGACAGAGGGGGTCACAGTGGATCAGCCCCATCACTGGCCGGAGGAAAACCTTCGCTGACCGCCTCCGACCGGCGCTCTCAGAGCGCTTCAATCTCGCGAGATTTCCTTCCTCGAGTTACCGTGGGGGAGAACCGAGCGATTCATTTGAGGCCGCTAGCTGACATGCGCGAGAGGTAGGGGCGGGCCACTTCATGTCCCTCCCTATTAATCTACTCTCAAGCTTTCGCTCGGCCTCTCGCAAAGTCTCGCGAGTCGTGCTAGGGGAACTGGCCTGGGTGGAGAGACCGAGAGGCGAGACCGAGTGGGAGGGCCTTGCGTTTAGGGGACGGTGGCTGGTTTAGCCGCCGCTGTGGTTGGTGCTTCGCTGTTGGGGAGGCTCTCAGGTCGCCCGGATCAATCTTCCCAATGCGTGATTGAGAAAATTAGCGGGTAGAAAATCTTGAGGGTCGGAGGCATTTTTTCCCTTGGCTCCGCCCTCTTCCTGTTAGGGACCCGGGCGGCTGGCCCACCGAGGGGGAAGGGCAGTTTGGCGGGGCTGTCGAAGGGTGCTTTGCGCACGCGCCAGTCCGAGTGTGTGAGTGTTTGTGTTCACGCGCAGGCGCGCGCGCGCTCCTGCATTTAGGAAGCCTGGGAAGGACCGGTGTGCTATGAGATGAGCGGGGAAAGCATAGCCCCCTGTCTTTGGTGCCAGACACTCCTGACTGTGCGCTGACCCTCCCCACCCAGCCAGCAGCCTTTTCCAGAGAGGCTGTGGTCCATAGCCTCTGTTCGTTTTCACTGCAGGACCAGGCACGAAAGTAAGCGAACCTCGATCCTGAGGTCTTCCCTACCCACTCACCTTGTACTTTCCACCCCCCACTCTCCAGCAGAGTGTGTCTAGGTTTCTCAAAGAAGAGTTTTGCATGAAGGGGAAATGCGTTTGAAAGCAGGAGAAGAAAATAGCTGGATTGTAAAACGTCGGTTCGTTTTGATGAACACTTTTGCTCTGTTTACCATGTGCTTTTCGAATGTGGATTGTCTATTCAGTATGAGATTTTATTAGCGAAGCAAGGGAGTTTTTATAAGAAAAAGTTTTTAGAAGTTCGTCTTCCCCATCAGTGTGATGGCAGTACCTAAGTTTTTCTGTTCTACGTGGTAAATTACTGTTGTTTCAAAAGCTAAGGGGAAGAGTGTGAATTTGAGGTCCTTATTCCTAATGCTAAGACCTGATATGCACGTATCTTAGGAGATGTTATGCTTTGGGCTTCCCTTTTGTTGTCACTCTTTCCAGTTAATTCTCCCCACACTTTTTCAGAAGTCTTGAGTTTTTTTGGAGGGAAGCCCCAAAATGCTGACTTATGTTAATTGAAGGGTTTATATGTGCTTGATGTCAATTAGCAAGGATCATCGAAAGTGTATTTGAAGAGTATTTGCTGTTTACTACGTTTGGTATTATGGAAGGGAGTAAAGTACAAAATATTTGTAAAAATGTTTTCTTCTGACAAATTTTAAGTTCATTCAAAAGGCAAAAAAAAAAATGCATGGATTGTAATTTTGCCTGTGACTGGTAGAGTGACCCCTTAAGATGCTGTAGCTCATCTCTTGAATTGATAGTTACTTTCTGGTTATGACCTCATTAAATCTTGTCCTTTGTTGGATAAATTTCTTTGAATACTGATTATTCATATTTCCTATCAAATCTTCTTGAGGAAAAGACACATCAATTAGAAATACTTTTAAGATAGTAAATGTCATGTGTAAGATGTTTGGCTAATGTATTTTATCTCTTACAGGTTGAAACAAAATGAAGATTTTTTCTGAATCTCATAAAACAGTATTTGTTGTGGATCACTGCCCTTACATGGCAGAATCATGCAGACAGCATGTCGAGTTCGATATGCTGGTGAAGAACAGGACCCAAGGAATCATCCCTTTGGCCCCCATATCTAAATCATTGTGGACTTGCTCAGTAGAGTCTTCCATGGAATACTGTAGAATAATGTATGATATATTTCCTTTCAAAAAGCTGGTGAGTGTGAATTACAAGTAAAATCATGATTTGGGGGATGTGCTTAACTGCCTATTACATTTTTTTATATATGAGTTTGCTGTGGATTTGACTTTCAACTGTTTATTTACTACTTTACAAATGTGGTATATAGAACTCCCCTTTGGAATTAATATGTGTATTTAATTGGGGCTAGCAATAATAATAACAGCTAACATATGGAGCATATACATGTGCTTCGTATTTATTAACTCCTTTAACTCTGACAACAGTCCTATGGGGTAGCTACTGTAATTTCGGGGACGGTATTCAAAGTATATAATAAGCAGAATGGAACAGGCATGGAGCGTTGAGAACTGTTGCCAGCATCAGCAGAAGGGAGGTTGGCTGTAGGCAGTTTGTCAGAGTGTTTTTGGTATGTACCACCCGAAGATCAGCCTTGTTTATTACTGCCATGGTGGAGATGCAGAAACTGAGATAAAGAGAAGAAACTTGCCCTGAATCATATGGCTAGTTAGAGGCAGAACCAGAATCTGAACTGGGCTGGTTAGAGTTTTAGTGACTGTTTACTAAACTGCTGCAGAATTTGGAAGAAATGCTCTTGAGAATGCTAAGCAGAAATTGTTTTTATCAGAAGAAAATTTGAAGATTGTTAGAAATTCCAAGGGTGAAAATTATCTTCGGATTTCAGAATCTCAACTGTTTTATTTTGGGAAGGTCATTTGGTTAGCCACAAGTGGGTGAGTTGCTTTCTGTCTCACTTGGAGTAGCCTAGGCCGGGACCTCGCCAATTAGACTGGCACAAGCAGGGCAGTAACAGGAAGGCTGAGTATAGAGAATCTAATGTATATTGTGCATTCAGATATATTCCAGATTTAAATTGTGTTTAGTCCCTTTGTAAATTGTGCATGTAGGCTAAAAAAATTTACATATATATAAAACTTATATATATATATATATATGAGAGGAAGCATGATGTAGTGATTTTAGGGGGCAGATTTTGATTCACATCCTGGCATCATTGGACTACCAGCCATATAACCTTGATCTTTTTGCTTAATCTCTCCAAGCCTCAGTTTCCTCCTATGTAAGCATGACACCTCTTTCCTGTGATTGTCGTGCAATTGCAGTGAGGTTAATGTAAGTAAAGTGGCTACTAAAATACGCTCCTGTCAGACGAGCCTTAGGAGAGAAGGCTACTTATCAAACTTGCTGGGGAAGCAAAGCTAGTATTTCATGGGTATTTGGAAAAAAGATCATGAATTAGATCATATAGTCCAGGGGAAAGAAATAATCTCACCCTCCTCCCAAAACAGAACATAGCCATCATTTGGTGTACTTTCTAATACATCCTTACTGTCACCGTATTATCTCATAGTGTTTTTTTTTTGTTTACATTTTACTTTCTTTAAAATTTAGAGTAAAGCCCAAACCCATTCTTTCGGCTTTCAGTCCCCTGTGTGATACGCCTATTGCTTATTTTTCTGACCTTACCTCCTACCTCTCTGCCCACTTTGACCTGCAGCCTTTTGAGGGTACACACTTGGAGGCTTTTGCATTTGCTATTTGCTATACCTGGAATTCTGCCCCCAGCTCTTTCCATAGCTAGTTGCTTTTGGTCATTTTGGATTCCCTTCAATTGCCACTTCTATAGAGAGCCCTTCTCTGATCACCCAACCTGAAGTAGCTAAAAACAACTTATTTTTCATAGCATTTATCACTCTTTGAAATTATCCTGTTCATTTATTTTTGTTTATATTCTCCTTGCACTGCCCTCTATCTGACTACATCCTCGAACCCCTGGCTTTCCCCATTGTTAGCAGCAGAACTGTTTGATTCATCACTGTATTCCCATATCCCCAGTGCTGAGAATAGCACCTGGCATGTAACTGTAACTATAAAATGAGTGAATCAATCAATCAACAAACCTGTGCTAGGGACTGCATTCTTTGTTTATATTTATATTGTGTATATTAAAACATATTTATAATAAAATAAATATCTTAAATATGGTGTGATTGAGTGGAATTGGAGTTGAATACTAATTCTTTCTTTCAACTCTATTAGGTAAATTTCATCGTGAGTGACTCTGGAGCACATGTTTTAAACTCTTGGACTCAAGAAGACCAAAATTTGCAGGAGGTATGCTTAGGTTTTGAGCTGTGGCTGTTTTTGAAAATTATGTGAACATGGTAATATTTTCTTTAAAAATGATTAATTTTTAGAAATTGGCTTAGTATTTGTACATAGTTTTAAAACATCAACTACTGCTAAAAGAAAAACAACTGTTTAGAGTCCAGTCTTTGCCCGCTTTCTGGACGCAAACTTTCAACTCTTTGTTTATCTAGTATTTACTTCCGTATTTGTAAATAACATGTTTTTACTGCTTTTTATAGAGTTCTCAATTTAAAGTTTATTTATCATTATTGTTAATGGGAATTTACCTTTTATACTTCCTCTCACCCACACCACTATGACTGCCCCCTTCCCTTCTCTCATTTTCTTAATACTGTTATATCAGAGGTTTCGGTTAATTAAAAATTCCATGTTTACATTATGATGTCTACGTAAAGCGTTACCCACTGCTAAGCCAAGTAGGGCATGTGGTTGTTTCCTTTCTTTTGCTTCTTTTAAGATTTTATTAAGACATAAAGTTGATTGGCAGCACTGTATAAGTTTAAGGTATACAGCATGATGATTTGACTTATGTGGTATTTCCTTTTTTGTAAAACTTTCTGTGTGTTCCTGGAACTTATCATTTCCTTTTTTTCCCCTTTAATTTACTTAGTTTGCTGAGTATCTGTTGCTGCTTTTCCTCATGTCTCTACAAAACTTCTTGATATTTTTATCATTAGTGTATTAGAAATTTAGCGGGTTTTTTTTTTTTTTCCCCTTGAAAAACTTCTTGGAGCGCAGTCTTCAGCTGCAGTTTGAACTGGTTGCTTCCTAGGCCTGGTGCCTGGCTGTCTCCTTCTCCCCCTGTTTTTCAGATCCTGACTTTTTCCCTCTTTTGGGGGGGTGTGTAATCTCTTTTTTGGGTCGAATACAACCTCCAGGATTCCTGCAACTTACAGTTTATTGATACTTGGGGTATAAGAATTTCAGGTTGGAAATATTTT